GTTCATAATAAAGACATTACCATTTCATCATTTGTTATGTGACCTGCCCAAAGCTTTAGTAATGTCCAAGGTGAGTAAAAACCTAGAATTAAGTGACCATGATAAATAATGAAAGATAAATGTGATTGTTTCAGTAAGCAATACATTTTAATGCCACCTTCCCCTAATTAAAGTCCACGTCATTTTGTTTATATATCTTGTAAAGTAATGTTTACCCATCTAAATCTGCCTAATCTTAGTCCTTCAATAATGCTGAGTTTGGGTGCAGGGAATTGGTAGTCCAGTGGTGCAAATGTTTTCATGTCGGCTATTATCACGGCTGCAGACTCCCTTTTCTAGCTATTGAGGGCATCCGGCCACTGGACCACCAATAAGGAGTGTCCATATCAAGCTTGCAGTGACAGGAAACTCGTGACTAGGACATTACACAACCATAGATTTAAGTAAAAGGGGTGTTTTTTATTTTTATTTTCCAGTAATTATTTAGAGGTGAGTGGGGGGAGAAAGAAGTGCAGGTTGGGCAGCAGGCCGGGAAATGATGTTAAAGTGATCCTGTCACTACTGTAAAAACAAGTAATTTACAGCCATCTGTAAAAGAAGACATGTTTTCTGGTGAACCCTGTGTCAAAACTTTGCTGTCTTGAAGAGCTATAGGCATCCCTGGTATCTTCCACCTCTAGTTGTGTCAAACACCTGGTACCTCACTGGGTCATATTTACCAAATGTCCCAGATTTGCCAGGATTCCCCTATTCCCCTATTCTTGTGAGCAAGCTGGGAGCAATGAAACACATCAAGGAAGGTTGTTATTTGGGTGGAGATATGAGACCAGCCATTCTGATTATAGTTAAATAAATACAGCAAGAAGAGCTAACATCAAAGTACAGCTGGTATCTTTGTTATCTAATATAAAATTGTTATGATTGGGTCTACATATATTTTAAGTACTTAATTAACACAATTTTAGCTAAAGGAGAAGTGTGGAAATACTAAAAAAAATATTACCATACATACTGTACTTATCTACCTGCTGCAGCATTTGGTCCTGATGCTGCAGCTGCCCCCACCTGGACATAAACCTGAGAGCTAAGCAATCACATGACCGCTGATCGCTCAGTTCTTGGGTCTGCTCAGAGCAGAGAGCATTGACTATCAGTCTCCACTCTCTGTTCAAGTGCTCACTGGAGTGGCAGGAAGGAGAGGGGATGGAATGAGTTGGCTCAGATTCTGAGTTACAAGAGAGAAGCATGGTGGTAGGCTGACCCAGCTGCCTGTAAGGCATCTGGGTGGATCCCCGACATTGTTGTCAGGGGCTCTTCAGAGTCTGGAAGCGGCTCTGTGATGAGCTGGCTTTAACCCACTGTCAGCTGATTCTGGATCACAGGAGAGCACAAGTAAATGTACTTCTGTGACCCACAAGAGAAGCATGACCAAACGAGCTTTAGCCATTCTTCTCTTTTAAGTTTGTTTTTTTCAATAAATATGGCAAGTATGTTTTTGACAAATCCTGAAAGCTTCCCTTTCTAAGATATTGTTTCTAAAGACATGTTTAATAAGTGTGCCCCCAACAACAAAATACAGTATCGTATAGGGGCAAATTACTGGAACTGATGCTGCAGTTTATATCTCTAAGGTTTGTTCAATGTTCTTTTCATTTCTTTATTTACTTGAATTTATTTTGTAAATAAAAAGCAGAGATATATTTCATTTCCGATATTTATAAAAGATGATAAAGTTAGATAAATTAAGAGTTAGGAAACTAGAGATTGGATTAAGACCATTTTTTTCCCCAGTAACATTTTGGATGCATGCTGCAGTAACAATAAATAACTTATTCTGCGCTAATAATAATGGATCTTTCTTCTCCACGTGCATTAACATGCACTAAAACCTACATTTAAATAAGCATTAATGCATCATACAGTAAGACATGGTATATATGCTTTAATATTCATTTTGAATGCACATACCAATACACATAAAGAAAAAAAAAATATAAAAAATATATATATTTATAGTATATAGCTGGACTATAGTGCAAAACAATACCCATATCTAAACACTCATGCATTGTGGTGAGCTGCATTACCAAAGATAATGAATTAAAATAAAAGGGATCCAAATATTCCCAAAAGAAAAATTCCCATTTTGGGGGGATAAAAAGTGAGTGGGTGGTCAAAAACATCATGTGCATGTGTATGTGAGTGTGAGTGAGTGTGTGTGCGTGTGGGGGGGGGGGGCACTGTCTTGGGGAGCATGTACCAGTGCACAAAAGAAATTGCAGGCAAATGGCATTTCCCTTTTGGCTTCCATTAAAAAAAGAGAGAAACAGTACACAGACCCCTCCAAAGGTCCCCCAAAAAATTCAATGCAAAAAAAGTGTGAAGTCCCTCTAAAAATCTATACCAGACTAAGCATGCAGCCTGACTGGCCAGGAAAGGGGGGGCGAGTGTGAACTTCCTTCCTGAATTATACCAGGTCACATGCCCTCAACATGCAGGGTGCCTTGTCAGGGGGACTCCCTTGGTAAGGCACCTTGTCTCTATGTTGATGAGGACAAAGGCCTCTTCCCCTGGCCCAGTGGTTAAGAAGGTCTGTTATCAGAATCGGGACGCCCCCTTTAAAAATAACAGCAACCCTATGTGGATGAGTAATGGGTAACCTAAAAATAAAGACACAAAATATATTATATTATATTATATGTCCTTTATAAACAAAATAAAAATATCCCCAATTGGAAATCCCTTATCAAACATGATGACTGATGCCCACTTAAAGACCCGACTAACCCAGCGCACATGACAGTACTATTCACCTAATGACAGCACCTGCTACTTTCCTAGGAACCATTGACAGTGGGAAGATGTCATATTTAAAAGCAGAAGAAATACCATTTCTTTATATGATGCTTGCTTGGCTTCTTCCAACACTCAGCCACTGAACTTGGGTTTGGACCAGACAGTTGTCTCATCCCTAGCACCAGATATATTTATCATATCTGGTTAATCTTTGTTTTCCTCAATAACTGCTCTCAGTCATGGCTGCTACTGAGACCTGTTATTGTGGTGAAAAAATATTTATTGTATTTAATAAACATCTTTGAACCACTTTACAGACCAGTACTATGGTAACCTTGTTTGTTTTTTACTCCAAACTTAAAAACTAACCATAAATCAAAGTCTGCCATCTAGCATATTGCACATAGAAAATATTCAAGACCAGGTTCATTGCAAGGAACAAAACCCTAAAGCACAAGCATTTAAAAAATATTACAGTTCTTCTTTTATTATTACAGTATATTGTTGTGAAAAAAAAAGATTATTTTGTTAATTTTCTTTTTTGAGTATAATTTTTATAATTAAAAGAGAAGAAAAAAATAAAATTACAATTAAAACATTATGGTAATTGTTAACACATAATTGTACAGTAAACAAGTAAGAATATTTTTGGTATCAGATAGTCTGTGTGCTGTCTGAACCCAAAGGTTATTTTTTATACAGTAGCCACATTTATTGCAATCTTTATGCGTTTTAACTTATTGGCCAATAAACCAGCATTGGTATATCATTAAAATAGGACTAAGGGCAAAATTGGATTTTTTTTTTACTAAAGTAAAGGAATGTTATAACCCCTGTCTGCTTTTTGTCTTCTCTGTCCTATTGGGGAGATTTCTCTTAACTTCCTGTCCCATTGCCAAAACAGGAAGTGAGAGAATATATATAGAGATGAGCGAAAGTATTCAAAAATTCGATTCGACTGATTCGGCGAATTCGTGGAAATATTTTGATTCGAGTCGAATATATTCGCTGTGAATTTAACTTAAAAAAAAAAAGGGTGTTTCTAGGCTTCAGAGAGACTTAATATTAGTGCAGAACACTGTACCTTTAATTTAAATGCCCTTGGAGTCTGCTGGGGAAGAGAAATAATACTGTCAGTCAGTATGACATGCAGATGAGTGCCGTCGATCTTAGAATCACCGCACACTTCACTCATTTGGGCAGTCACGGGGCCAAAACCAGAGTGTGGAGCCACAGTGTGGCGGTGGAGGGCAGCAGCAATGGGAGGCCATACAGCACCCTATGACAAAAATGGAAACCACCAGCAGTGTGAGGAGACCTGAAAGTGGCACATGGCAGAGTGTGGCGATAGAGACAGCAGCAATGGGAGGCCGTACAGGGACCCATGAGACACTCTGGACCTGGCAGCAGCATGAGGAGGCGGTACAGGGGCCCATGACAGATTACGGGCCTGGCAGCAGCATGAGGAGTCGGTACGGGGGCCCATGGCAGATTACGGCCTGGCAGCAGCAATGGGAGGCCGTACACGGACCCATGACACACTCTGGACCTGGCAGCAGCATGGGGAGGCGGTACAGGGGCCCATGACAGATTACGGGCCTGGCAGCAGCATGAGGAGTCGGTACGGGGGCCCATGACACACTCTGGACCTGGCAGCAGCATGAGGAGGCGGTACAGGGGCGCATGACAGATTATGAGCCTGGCAGCAGCAACTTGGACAGGAGGACGTTCAGCTTCTGCACCGTCGGGTGCGTGCTCGCAAACTGTTGTCTCTTGGAAACGGATTCCAAGAAAGACTGCTGACGGAATCCGTGAAGAGGAGTAGCAGGAGAAGGAGCATCTGAACGAGCGGAATATGCCAACAAGCGACAACAGGGGCCCATGACAGATTACGGGCCTGGCAGCAGCATGAGGAGTCGGTACGGGGGCCCATGGCAGATTAGGGGCCTGGCAGCAGCTATGGGAGGCCCGTAATCTGCCAGCACCCTATGGCAAAAAATGGAACCCACCAGCAGTGTGAGGATACCTGAAAGTGGCACATGGCAGAGTGTGGCGATGGAGACAGCAGCAATGGGAGGCCGTACAGGGACCCATGAAAGACTCTGGACCTGGCAGCAGCATGAGGAGGCGGTATAGGGGCCCATGGCAGATTAGGGGCCTGGCAGCAGCTATGGGAGGCCCCCGTAATCTGCCAGCACCCTATGACAAAAAATGGAACACACCAGCAGTGTGAGGAGACCTGAAAGTGGCACATGGCAGAGTGTGTGGCGATGGAGACAGCAGCAATGGGAGGCCGTACAGGGACCCATGAGAGACTCTGGACCTTGGCAGCAGCATGAGGAGGCGGTATATAGGGGCCCATGGCAGATTAGGGGCCTGGCAGCAGCTATGGGAGGCCCGTAATCTGCCAGCACCCTATGACAAAAAATGGAACACACCAGCAGTGTGTGGAGACCTGAAAGTGGCACATGTTTGGGGCATGATTCATGGCGGATTTAGTCAGTTGTGTCAGGAACTGGTGGTTTGAAATCCAGACTAATCCACGCCTGATTCATTTTCACAAACGTGAGTCTCTCCACACTTTGGGTGGACAGTCGTGTCCTCCGCGGAGTTGCAATACCTCCTGCCGCACTAAACACGCGCTCCGATGCCACGCTACTGGGCCGGGCATGACAGCCTTTCAAGGGCAAATTCAGCTAGTTGGGGCCAAAGGTCAAGTTTCGTTGCCCAGTAGTCAAGGGGATTGTCTACCTCGGTTGGCAGGGTGCTGTCCAAGTAGGCCTAAGCCTGTTGTTTGAGGTCCTGCTCCAGGTCCACCTGATGCTGCTGCTGCTGCTGCTGCTGCGGCTGGTTAGTAGTTTCCTCACTGCGCTGGTGAAAGAAAGCTACTCATCATCGACTGCAGACTGAGGCAGCCGCTGCTGGTGGAGCTGCCCACTGCTCCTACCACCCCACCCTCCCCTGCTGCCATGGCAGCGGAACGCGAGCGCACAGGGCCCACAGTGTCTGAGGATGGACGTTGGCGCAGACAGGCAGAGACCAGCTGACTACATAGGTGGTTTTTATAGTACTTTATTTTGGCCTCCCTCTCAGCAGGTGTGAAAAAGGGCCACCATTTTTGAACGGTAGCGAGGGTCCAACAAGGTGGACAGCCAAAAGTCATCCCTCTGTCTGATGGTTATTATTCGGCTGTCGCTACGCAAGCAAGCGAGCATGCTATGGGCCATTTGTGCCAAGGAATGCGAGGGACTCCCTGCCTCCATCTCCACAGCATACTGCCACGGTGCGTCTGGGTCCTCTGTCTCCTCTTCCTCCTCCTCTACCAGATGCTCTGCTGCTCCTCCACTCCTGTCCGCTGAGTGGAAAAACCACCCATTTCACTCAATAATTCCTGAGCACCAATGTCCTCCTCTACCTCCTCCTCTTCTTCCTGTCCTGCCCCCACAGGGGTCATGTGGCGTTGAGATCTGTGCGCCACGTCTACCGCACCCTGACCAGCCATTGTTAACAGCATTTGTTCCAGGACGTGCAACAGAGGAATGACGTCGTTCATCCCATAGTCCTGCCGACTCACGAATAGCGTGGCCTCCTCAAAGGGCCTGAGCAAGCGCAGGTGTCACGCATGAGCTGCCAATGGCTGACATCTAAGTTACACAGGGAGTACCTTTATCCGCTTTTAACATCAGGAAATCTGTGTGATGGCCTTTTGCTGTTCGTAAAGGCGGTCTAAACATATGTAGGGTTGAATTCCACCTTGTTGCAACGTCACAGCATGAGGAGTCGGTATAGGGGCCCATGGCAGATTAGGGGCCTGGCAGCAGCTATGGGAGGCCCGTAATCTGCCAGCACCCTATGTCAAAAAAATTCAACACACCAGCAGTGTGAGGAGACCTGAAAGTGGCACATGGCAGAGTGTGGCGATGGAGACAGCAGCAATGGGAGGCCGTACAGGGACCCATGACAGAGACTCTGGACTTGGCAGCAGCATGAGGAGGCGGCGGTTATATAGGGGCCCATGGCAGATTAGGGGCCTGGCAGGCAGCAGCTATAGGAGGCCCGTAATCTGCCAGCACCCTATGTCAAAAAATTCAACACACCAGCAGTGTGTGAGGAGACCTGAAAGTGGCACATGGCAGAGTGTGGCGATGGAGACAGCAGCAATGGGAGGCCGTACAGGGACCCATGACAGACTCTGGACTTGGCAGCAGCATGAGGAGGCGGTATATAGGGGCCTATGGCAGATTAGGGGCCTGGCAGCAGCTATAGGAGGCCCGTAATCTGCCAGCACCCTATGTCAAAAAATTCAACACACCAGCAGTGTGTGAGGAGACCTGAAAGTGGCACATGGCAGAGTGTGGCGATGGAGACAGCAGCAATGGGAGGCCGTACAGGGACCCATGACAGACTCTGGACTTGGCAGCAGCATGAGGAGGCGGGTATATATAGGGGCCTATGGCAGATTAGGGGCCTGGCAGCAGCAGCTATGGGAGGCCCGTAATCTGCCAGCACCCTATGTCAAAAAATTCAACACACACCAGCAGTGTGTGAGGAGACCTGAAAGTGGCACATGGCAGAGTGTGGCGATGGAGACAGCAGCAGCAATGGGAGGCCGTACAGGGACCCATGACAGACTCTGGACTTGGCAGCAGCATGAGGCGGTATATAGGGGCCTATGGCAGATTAGGGGCCTGGCAGCAGCTATAGGAGGCCCGTAATCTGCCAGCACCCTATGTCAAAAAATTCAACACACCAGCAGTGTGAGGAGACCTGAAAGTGGCACATGGCAGAGTGTGGCGATGGAGACAGCAGCAATGGGAGGCCGTACAGGGACCCATGACAGACTCTGGACTTGGCAGCAGCATGAGGAGGCGGTATATAGGGGCCTATGGCAGATTAGGGGCCTGGCAGCAGCTATGGGAGGCCCGTAATCTGCCAGCACCCTATGTCAAAAAATTCAACACACCAGCAGTGTGTGAGGAGACCTGAAAGTGGCACATGGCAGAGTGTGGCGATGGAGACAGCAGCAATGGGAGGCCGTACAGGGACCCATGACAGACTCTGGACTTGGCAGCAGCATGAGGAGGCGGTATATATAGGGGCCTATGGCAGATTAGGGGCCTGGCAGCAGCTATAGGAGGCCCGTAATCTGCCAGCACCCTATGTCAAAAAATTCAACACACCAGCAGTGTGTGAGGAGACCTGAAAGTGGCACATGGCAGAGTGTGGCGATGGAGACAGCAGCAATGGGAGGCCGTACAGGGACCCATGACAGACTCTGGACTTGGCAGCAGCATGAGGAGGCGGTATATAGGGGCCTATGGCAGATTAGGGGCCTGGCAGCAGCTATAGGAGGCCCGTAATCTGCCAGCACCCTATGTCAAAAAATTCAACACACCAGCAGTGTGTGAGGAGACCTGAAAGTGGCACATGGCAGAGTGTGGCGATGGAGACAGCAGCAATGGGAGGCCGTACAGGGACCCATGACAGACTCTGGACTTGGGCAGCAGCATGAGGAGGCGGTATATAGGGCCTATGGCAGATTAGGGGCCTGGCAGCAGCTATAGGGAGGGCCCGTAATCTGCCAGCACCCTATGTCAAAAAATTCAACACACAGCAGTGTGTGAGGAGACCTGAAAGTGGCACATGGCAGAGTGTGGCGATGGAGACAGCAGCAATGGGAGGCCGTACAGGGACCCATGACAGACTCTGGACTTGGCAGCAGCAGCATGAGGAGGCGGTATATAGGGGCCTATGGCAGATTAGGGGCCTGGCAGCAGCTATAGGGAGGCCCGTAATCTGCCAGCACCCTATGTCAAAAAATTCAACACACCAGCAGTGTGTGAGGAGACCTGAAAGTGGCACATGGCAGAGTGTGGCGATGGAGACAGCAGCAATGGGAGGCCGTACAGGGACCCATGACAGACTCTGGACTTGGCAGCAGCATGAGGAGGCGGTATATAGGGGCCTATGGCAGATTAGGGGCCTGGCAGCAGCTATAGGAGGCCCGTAATCTGCCAGCACCCTATGTCAAAAAATTCAACACACCAGCAGTGTGTGAGGAGACCTGAAAGTGGCACATGGCAGAGTGTGGGCGATGGAGACAGCAGCAATGGGAGGCCGTACAGGGACCCATGACAGACTCTGGACTGGCTTGGCAGCAGCATGAGGAGGCGGTATATAGGGGCCTATGGCAGATTAGGGGCCTGGCAGCAGCTATAGGAGGCCCGTAATCTGCCAGCACCCTATGTCAAAAAATTTCAACACACCAGCAGTGTGTGAGGAGACCTGAAAGTGGCACATGGCAGAGTGTGGCGATGGAGACAGCAGCAATGGGAGGCCGTACAGGGACCCATGAGAGACTCTGGACTTGGCAGCAGCATGATGAGGCGGCGGTATATAGGGGGCCTATGGCAGATTAGGGGCCTGGCAGCAGCTATGGGAGGCCCGTAATCTGCCAGCACCCTATGTCAAAAAATTCAACACACCAGCAGTGTGTGAGGAGACCTGAAAGTGGCACATGGCAGAGTGTGGCGATGGAGACAGCAGCAATGGGAGGCCGTACAGGGACCCATGACAGACTCTGGACTTGGCAGCAGCATGAGGAGGCGGTATATAGGGGCCCATGGCAGATTAGGGGCCTGGCAGCAGCTATAGGAGGCCCGTAATCTGCCAGCACCCTATGTCAAAAAATTCAACACACCAGCAGTGTGTGAGGAGACCTGAAAGTGGCACATGGCAGAGTGTGGCGATGGAGACAGCAGCAATGGGAGGCCGTACAGGGACCCATGACAGACTCTGGACTTGGCAGCAGCATGAGGAGGCGGTATATAGGGGCCTATGGCAGATTAGGGGCCTGGCAGCAGCTATAGGAGGCCCGTAATCTGCCAGCACCCTATGTCAAAAAAAATTCAACACACACAGCAGTGTGTGAGGAGACCTGAAAGTGGCACATGGCAGAGTGTGGCGATGGAGACAGCAGCAATGGGAGGCCGTACAGGGACCCATGACAGACTCTGGACTTGGCAGCAGCATGAGGAGGAGGGGATATAGGGGCCTATGGCAGATTAGGGGCCTGGCAGCAGCTATGGGAGGCCCGTAATCTGCCAGCACCCTATGTCAAAAAATTCAACACACCAGCAGTGTGAGGAGACCTGAAAGTGGCACATGGCAGAGTGTGGCGATGGAGACAGCAGCAATGGGAGGCCGTACAGGGACCCATGACAGACTCTGGACTTGGCAGCAGCATGAGGAGGCGGTATATAGGGGCCCATGGCAGATTAGGGGCCTGGCAGCAGCTATGGGAGGCCCGTAATCTGCCAGCACCCTATGTCAAAAAATTCAACACACCAGCAGTGTGTGAGGAGACCTGAAAGTGGCACATGGCAGAGTGTGGCGATGGAGACAGCAGCAATGGGAGGCCGTACAGGGACCCATGACAGACTCTGGACTTGGCAGCAGCATGAGGAGGCGGTATATAGGGGCCTATGGCAGATTAGGGGCCTGGCAGCAGCTATAGGAGGCCCCCGTAATCTGCCAGCACCCTATGTCAAAAAATTCAACACACCAGCAGTGTGTGAGGAGACCTGAAAGTGGCACATGGCAGAGTGTGGCGATGGAGACAGCAGCAATGGGAGGCCGTACAGGGACCCATGACAGACTCTGGACTTGGCAGCAGCATGAGGAGGCGGTATATAGGGGCCCATGGCAGATTAGGGGCCTGGCAGCAGCTATAGGAGGCCCGTAATCTGCCAGCACCCTATGTCAAAAAATTCAACACACCAGCAGTGTGTGAGGAGACCTGAAAGTGGCACATGGCAGAGTGTGGCGATGGAGACAGCAGCAATGGGAGGCCGTACAGGGACCCATGACAGACTCTGGACTTGGCAGCAGCATGAGGAGGCGGTATATAGGGGCCTATGGCAGATTAGGGGCCTGGCAGCAGCTATAGGAGGCCCGTAATCTGCCAGCACCCTATGTCAAAAAATTCAACACACCAGCAGTGTGTGAGGAGACCTGAAAGTGGCCATGGCAGAGTGTGGCGATGGAGACAGCAGCAATGGGAGAGGCCGTACAGGGACCCATGACAGACTCTGGACTTGGCAGCAGCATGAGGAGGCGGTATATAGGGGCCTATGGCAGATTAGGGGCCTGGCAGCAGCTATGGAGGCCCGTAATCTGCCAGCACCCTATGTCAAAAAATTCAACACACCAGCAGTGTGTGAGGAGACCTGAAAGTGGCACATGGCAGAGTGTGGCGATGGAGACAGCAGCAATGGGAGGCCGTACAGGGACCCATGACAGACTCTGGACTTGGGCAGCAGCATGAGGAGGCGGTATATAGGGGCCTATGGCAGATTAGGGGCCTGGCAGCAGCTATGGGAGGCCCGTAATCTGCCAGCACCCTATGTCAAAAAATTCAACACACCAGCAGTGTGTGGAGACCTGAAAGTGGCACATGGCAGAGTGTGGCGATGGAGACAGCAGCAATGGAGGCCGTACAGGGACCCATGACAGACTCTGGACTTGGCAGCAGCATGAGGAGGCGGTATATAGGGGGCCCATGGCAGATTAGGGGCCTGGCAGCAGCTATAGGAGGCCCGTAATCTGCCAGCACCCTATGTCAAAAAATTCAACACACCAGCAGTGTGTGAGGAGACCTGAAAGTGGCACATGGCAGAGTGTGTGGCGATGGAGACAGCAGCAATGGGAGGCCGTACAGGGACCCATGACAGACTCTGGACTTGGCAGCAGCATGAGGAGGCGGTATATAGGGGCCTATGGCAGATTAGGGGCCTGGCAGCAGCTATAGGAGGCCCGTAATCTGCCAGCACCCTATGTCAAAAAATTCAACACACCAGCAGTGTGTGAGGAGACCTGAAAGTGGCACATGGCAGAGTGTGGCGATGGAGACAGCAGCAATGGGAGGCCGTACAGGGACCCATGACAGACTCTGGACTTGGCAGCAGCATGAGGAGGCGGTATTAGGGGCCCATGGCAGATTAGGGGCCTGGCAGCAGCTATAGGAGGCCCGTAATCTGCCAGCACCCTATGTCAAAAAATTCACACACCAGCAGTGTGAGGAGACCTGAAAGTGGCACATGGCAGAGTGTGGCGATGGAGAGCAGCAATGGGAGGCCGTACAGGGACCCATGACAGACTCTGGACTTGGCAGCAGCAGCATGAGGAGGCGGTATATAGGGGCCCATGGCAGATTAGGGGCCTGGCAGCAGCTATAGGAGGCCCGTAATCTGCCAGCACACCCTATGTCAAAAAATTTCAACACACAGCAGCAGTGTGTGAGGAGACCTGAAAGTGGCACATGGCAGAGTGTGGCGATGGAGACAGCAGCAATGGGAGGCCGTACAGGGACCCATGACAGACTCTGGACTTGGCAGCAGCATGAGGAGGCGGGTATATATAGGGGCCTATGGCAGATTAGGGGCCTGGCAGCAGCTATAGGAGGCCCGTAATCTGCCAGCACCCTATGTCAAAAAAATTCAACACACACAGCAGTGTGAGGAGACCTGAAAGTGGCACATGGCAGAGTGTGGCGATGGAGACAGCAGCAATGGGAGGCCGTACAGGGACCCATGACAGACTCTGGACTTGGCAGCAGCATGAGGAGGGAGGTATATATAGGGGCCCATGGGCAGATTAGGGGCCTGGCAGCAGCTATGGGAGGCCCGTAATCTGCCAGCACCCTATGTCAAAAAATTCAACACACCAGCAGTGTGTGAGGAGACCTGAAAGTGGCACATGGCAGAGTGTGGCGATGGAGACAGCAGCAATGGGAGGCCGTACAGGGACCCATGACAGACTCTGGACTTGGCAGCAGCAGAGGAGGCGGTATATAGGGGCCTATGGCAGATTAGGGGCCTGGCAGCAGCTATGGGAGGCCCGTAATCTGCCAGCACCCTATGTCAAAAAAAATGAACACACCAGCAGTGTGTGAGGAGACCTGAAAGTGGCACATGTTTGAGGCATGATTCATGGCGGATTTAGTTTAGTCAGTTGTGTCAGGAACTGGTGGTTTGAAATCCAGACTAATCCACGCCTGATTCATTTTCACAAACGTGAGTCTCTCCACACTTTGGGTGGACAGTCGTGTCCTCCGCGGAGTTACAATACCTCCTGCCGCACTAAACACGCGCTCCGATGCCACGCTACTGGCCGGGCATGACAGCCTTTCAAGGGCAAATTCAGCTAGTTGGGGCCAAAGGTCAAGTTTCGTTGCCCAGTAGTCAAGGGGATTGTCTACCTCGGTTGGCAGGGTGCTGTCCAAGTAGGCCCAAGCCTGTTGTTTGAGGTCCTGCTCCAGGTCCACCTGATGCTGCTGCTGCTGCTGCTGCTGCTGCTGCTGCTGGCTGGTAGTAGTTTTCTCACTGCGCTGGTGAAGAAAGCTACTCATCATCGACTGCAGACTGAGGCAGCCGCTGCTGGTGGAGCTGCCACTGCTCCTACCACCCCACCCCTCCCCTGCTGCCATGGCAGCGGAACGCGAGAGCGCACAGGGCCCACAGTGTCTGAGGATGGACGTTGGCGCACAAAGGCAGAGACCAACTGACTACATAGGTGGTTTTTATAGTACGTTATTTTGGCCTCCCTCTCAGCAGGTGTGAAAAAGGCCACCATTTTTGAACGGTAGCGAGGGTCCAACAAGGTGGACAGCCAAAAGTCATCCCTCTGTCTGATGGTTATTATTCGGCTGTCGCTACGCAAGCAACCGAGCATGCTATGGGCCATTTGTGCCAAGGAATGCGAGGGACTCCCTGCCTCCATCTCCACAGCATACTGCCACGGTGCGTCTGGGTCCTCTGTCTCCTCCTCCTCTCCTCCTCTACCAGATGCTCCTGCTCCTCCACTCCTGTCCGCTGAGTGGGAAAAAACCACCCATTTCAACTCAATAATTCCTGAGCACAAATGTCCTCCTCTACCTCCTCCTCTTCTTCCTGTCCTGCCCCCACAGGGGTCATGTGGCGTTGAGATCTGTGCGCCACGTCTACCGCACCCTGACCAGCCATTGTTAACAGCATTTGTTCCAGGACGTGCAACAGAGGAATGACGTCGTTCATCCCATAGTCCTGCCGACTCACGAATAGCGTGGCCTCCTCAAAGGGCCTGAGCAAGCGGCAGGTGTCACGCATGAGCTGCCAATGGCTGACATCAAAGTTACACAGGGGAGTACCTTTATCCGCTTGTAACATCAGGAAATCGGTGATGGCCTTTCGCTGTTCGTAAAGGCGGTCTAACATGTGTAGGGTTGAATTCCACCTTGTTGCAACGTCGCAGATCAGGCGATGCTGTGGAATTCCGTTCTGCCGCTGCAGCTCAAGGAGGGTGTGTGCTTTGCGGTGTAGGAATGGCTGAAATGCATGCAAAGTT